TCTGGCATTTTTCCTGTGTATTGAAGCCCTCTGTACTATGCCAATTTCCTGAATGGCATTAAGGTGTACAGGGCTGCCAGAAATCCACTAGCCTCAGGTGTAGTATAATGAAAGCACCTTTACCAATACAGTAATTTCAAGAATCCCCTGCCCTTTCTTGTAAGGGGTGGGGGATATTTCAATCTGGTGTCAATATAAAAAAATTGAGTACAAAATTTTTCTCTATATATGATTGTCCACTGCTTTAAATGGTTAAATATATCTGTGTATTCCAGATCAGACTCCTTTGGGACAGTAATAAGTCCTAGCAAGAAACTGGGTTACTTCTAGAATATCCAGTGTTTGCTCTTCTCTTAAAGCTGTTACTGAGTTTCAGTTCTCAGTCAAAGCCAGTTGTCACAGACAGACATGTTAATAACTTCTTTTTGTGAAAATTATTCAGAGGAGAAATGGTTTAATACAAGGCAGAGTAATCTGCAAAGTAATGGGACAGGCATGCTCTGTGATATGTTGATCATATTTACTTTTTACACATATATTCTCATAACATACCCTTATTTCATTTGCTTCTTAGTCTAAACCACTTATCCCTCTTCAAAAAGAAGCTGACCCTGACACACAGAAAACAGTGCTTACTAATTACATGTTCCCCCAGCAACCAAGGACTGAGGATGGTAAGAATTTCTGAAATACCCTGTCGGAATGCTCACTTTTGAAAATAATAATGGGAAGACAGTCCAGCTAACGTGATTTTCACTAGATGATACTTAGATACAAGTTTGAAGTAAACTTGTAAGTGACGAAGAGTTACATCTGAAGAATGAGAACAGTAACTTAATGTGATCCATATATTAGTAAATTCTAGGTGAAACTGTGTTCCAGTTGGAAGTGTGCATGTATGGGGAGTGAGGTGAGGAATGGACTGGTGGGATCACATTCTTTGGTTGCCACTTCCCAGTGTGACACCCTGTTTCCAGCAGAGCTTAATGGTTTGGGTTTAAATTCTCCTTGCCAGGTGTCTGCTTCAGACTGACTATTTTTAACAAAATGATAGACAAAACGTTTCATCCATTACTGAGTACGTATTTTTTTGAAAAGTACATAGCATTCTGTATTTTATTTTAAAAGAAGACAAAAAAAAGTCCAGAAAAAAACGCATTTTGCTCACATTTAGTTCAAACTGTTTTATAAAAAGTTAGGCCCAGAACATTAAGACCTTGCCAGAAAGCTATTTCTTGCACACTTGTAAAATATTTAGGAAAATGAGTAACATTCTATGAGTAACCCCATCAGGAATTAGGAAAAGAGAGTAAAGTCTCTATATTCCCACTTTCCTTCCTCCGTGTGCAAAAGGAAAAAGCTTGTGCTGCTTTAACAGAAATGGAGGTATTAATGGAAATAATTGAAAATTGACAAGTGGCAACGTTTTCTGTTATATGGCACAAGTGTCTAATACACTGAGTAATCAAAAATATCTGCAAAAAACGGTAAATTTTACATCACTTTTAGTACCTTCTAATGCAGATAACACATGTGCAATACCTCTGATAGAATGTGATAATCATAAAATCATTTGGAGATTGTCAGTGAAGCTGAAGATAGTTCCTGAAAGTATTCTCTCCATTTGAACTTTATTTTACCCTAGTAGCGAGGTCTCTTTCTGTAGATGAGGAAAGGGCTGCTTGTTTGGCTTAAGTTGACAAGAATACTTCCCTCTGAGGCAGTCATTCCAAACAGAAGGTTTAAAGTTTAATAAATAACCTTTTTAAAATTTAAAATTCCTAAAATTCTTTAGAAAGTTCTTTTTTTGTGCCAGGAACTGTTTCAGCAATAGCAAAGTCTATTAGAATATTTTTCAGATGTGTTAAAATTGTAAGTTTACCCAATAAATGCAGTGTAACAAATATTCCAAATCACTTGGTGAGCCCTATAATTAAGCATTTTTCTATTTCAGATATAGTTAATATGAACAGTCTTGGTATTGCTAGTGAAGTACATAGGTTTGCTGGGGTGGTGGTGACATTTATTAGACTATTTGGCAAGCTAAAGTAGAACCTGGCTAATGTAATGCAAGGCATAGAGACATGCTAGAATAAGAGACTGGGTAGCCAACATTTTTTTTTCCTCTTGTAAAATTACACAAGTAATACTTTGTAAAGCTCCTGTCACTTATATAACTTCTGCAAAATCATGTGTTTACCTTAAGTTTTAGGTGCTTTTGTTTTTTCCAGGATTAGTAATAATGCAGGTTTTTCTCATAAGTCATTTTTATTCTTCCTTTTTTTAATTTTCATTAGGTGAAATCAGGTGAATGCTCTTATGTGCTTAATGAGACCACCTCACTGAAGTCAGGCTATGTAAATCTATATAAGTATCATTTATATATAAAAAATATTTTCATATTTATACATATATATATATATAAATAAAAATACTTTGCAGCAGAGTTCTGAAAATTTGCAACTGTGAGTGTTCAGACTAGTGTACAGCTGTGTATGAATTTTTTTTTTTTTACTTTACAGATGGGGATTTTACTATTATGAAAATACAGCCAAGTTCATAAAGCAGTAGCAGCACAGCTAGTCGTCAATTTATGGTGCTGCTAGTCTTTTATCTTTTAAGAATACATACAAAAAACCACCAATAATATCATCCAAGAAAAAGAGGATTTTTATTTTGCATAACGTATCCTATACTTACGAGAGTCTTTTTTTATTATTATTTAGTTATGTTCATATCTGATAATGAAAGCTTCAATCCATCTTTGTGGGAGGAACAGAGGAAACAGCGTGCTCAGGTGGCATTTGAGTGTGATGAAGACAAAGATGAGAGAGAGGCACCGCCTCGGGTTAGTATTGAATTTACTTTTTAATACTTGTGGCTTTGCTCTTTCTTCCCCTCCCCCTATGCCCAAATCCTATCCTTTTCCTTACTCTGGCTGTGGATTTAGCTCTGCTGAAGAAATCAAGTTGTCAGTTATTAGTTTAAGAGTATCTAACAGGATGAAACACAACACAACACTCACTCACTCACCCCCCCGATCATTTAAAGTGGAGCACAAGGGGAAAATTTTCACCTGATGTAAAGCAATGTAGGCCATAACTGGGAGACTACTGGACTGATGGTGCTGTGGGGAAGAATAGTGGGGAAACGATGATTAATCCTGATTTTTTCTTTAAGTAAATTACACTTGTAATCAATGCTTGCAATCAATGGACAAATTTTAAAAAGTTATTTGTAATCTTGCTGGGTTTTATAAACTTAAGTCTGAGTTAATCCAGTGTATTAGTTTTGTGTGGCAAGGTTTTGGTAGCAGGGGTGGCTTCTGTGACAAGATGCCAGAAGCTTCCCCCATGTCCGATGGAGCCAATGCCAGCCAGCTCCAAGACAGATCCGCTGCTGGCAAAGGCTGAGACAATCAGCAATGGTGGTAGTGCCTCTGTGATAACATATTTAAAAAGGGGGAAAAACTGCTGCGCAACAGCAGCTGGAAGAGAGGAGTGAGAATATGTGAGAGAAACAACTCTGCAGACACCAAGGTCAGTAAAGAAGGAGGGGGAGGAGGTGCTCCAGGCACCAGAGCAGAGATTCCCCTGCAGCCTGTGGTGAAGACCATGGTGAGGCAGGCTGTCCCCCTGCAGCCCATGGAGGTTAACAGCAGAGCAGATATCCACCTGCAGCCCATGGAGGACCCCACACTGGAGCAGGTGGACGTGCCCAAAGGAGGCTGTGACCCTGTGGAGAGCCTGTGCTGGAGCAGGTTTGCTGGCAGGACTTGTGACCCCGTGGGGGACCCACGCTGGAGCAGTCTGTGGGAAGAGTGTGAGGAGTCCTCCCCCTGAGAAGGAAGGAGCAGCAGAGATAATGTGTGATGAACTGACCGTAACCCCCATTCCCTGTCCCCCTGCGCTACTTGGGGGGAGGAGGTAGAGAAGTCAGGAGTGAAGTTGAGCCTGAGAAGAAGGGAGGGGTGGGGGGAAGGTGTTTTAAGATTCAGTTTTTATTTTTCATTATCCTACTCTGATTTGATTGGCAATAAATTAAATTAATCTTCCCCAAGTCATGTCTGTTTTGCCTGTGATGGTAACTGCTGAATGATTACCTCCCTGTCCTTATCTTGACTCACGAGCTTTTCATTATATTTTCTCTCCCCTGTCCAGCTGAGGAGTGGGGAGTGATAGAGTGGCTTTGGTGGGCACCTGGCATCCAGCCAGGGTCAACCCACCACATCCAGGTAGACTCGAACAGCAAAGTGGAGATCCTGGATTGCTCTGCTGAGTATTTTGTCCTAATTCATTGTCTGTTTTAAAACTGATATTTTAATTATAGCATTTAATTAAATTCAGAACATTATTGGTTTTTTTTACACAGGAAGGCAACCTGAAGAGATATCCAACTCCGTATCCTGATGAACTGAAGAATATGGTTAAAACAGTCCAGACAATTGTACATAGGCTAAAGGATGAAGAATCTACTGAAGATATTGCAAAGGAGTCAAAACAAGAAGGCCAGACAGTTTCTGTAAAAGATGTGGGGGTAAAGGTTAGATATAATATTCTCTTCTGACTTTGCAAGAACTTCCAAAGATCTAGAGTGTCATTGATTCCTTTTAATTATCTTGTTTCTCAACATTAATGCTTTAGCAGGAAAAAATGTCAAAGAACAGAACTTACCTCTTCACAGTCTAAAGAAGTCTGTAATAAATGTCTGTTTTGCAGTAGCAATTTTCCTCCGACACTAAGAACAAGGAAAGTGACTTGATTCTCAGGCAAATACAAGCTATGGATGTGTTAAGAAGCTGGCTACTTTGCTTTCTGGAGGATGGCACCTTTGTCATCCTCTTATCCTCCTTTATCCACCAGACTTCACAATGAAAATCAGGATAATCTCTAAGGATCTTGCCGCTGCCCTCGTGACTGAAGGTTTTGCACTATAAGTTGGGAAGACAGTTGTAGCAAGTTGGCACAGGAGTCACTAACAGGTTGATGTAGCGTGATAGGACTACTGTTTGGTGCTGACGTGTCTCATTGTAGATGTTCTTGGCCTTTTTTTATTTAACTGGAAATTTAATGGTACGAATTAACCCCAATAAGGACGAGAGTCAAACTGATTGGCAAAGGTTAGGGACTGTACCTCAGTAATCTGCAGAGATTTATCTCGACCTGGTGCATTTCATACTTTATCATTTCAAAGCTCAGATTTTCTATTCCATAGTTTCCCAAAATATATAATGTTAACTATCATATGTTACTGAAAACCTTTCAGGATGTTTTTTCTGCTAATGTTCTTAATCCTTTAGACTTCAGAAATTGCTTCAATAAAGAACAAAGCAGATGAGAGAAAGCAATATTCAGC